GAAAGTCAGAGTTACACAGAGAGAGGAGAAGCGGGGAGAGGTCTTCCGTCCAATGGTTCACTCCCCAGATGGCCGCAACGGCTGGAGCTGTGCCGACCCGAAGCCAGGAGCCAGGAGCCTCTTCCAGGTCTCCCACGCGGGTGCAGGGGCCCAAGGATTTGGGCCATCATCCGCTGCTATCCCAGGCCATAGCAGAGAGCTGGATTGGAACAGCGCCCTTGTGGGATGCCAGCGCTTTAGGTCAGGGCTTTAACCCGCTGCGCTTCAGCGCTGCCCCAAACCTTGTACTTTAGGAATTCTGATGTGCTCAGGAAAGCAGCACAAGATGGTCCACGTCCTTGGACCCCTGCTATCCAGGATGCTCCTGGCTCAGCCCTGGCTGATGAGGCCATTTGGGGAGGGAACCAGCGGATAGAGGCTCTCTCTGTGTCATCTGCCTGTCTAATAAATGAAAATCAGATTTGTTTTGGGCCAGTGTTGTGGCATAGTAGGTAAAGCCACCAGCTGGTTCATGTCCTGGCTGCTCTACTTCCAGTCCAGCTCCCTGCTAATGGCCTGGGAAAGCAGCAGAAGATGAGCCAAGTGCTTCGGCCCCTGCCACCCATGTGGGAGACCCGGAAGCAGCTCCTGGCTCCTGGCCTAGCCTGACCTTTGCAGCCATCCATGGAGTGAACCAGTGTGTAGTAGATCTCTCTCTCTCTTTCTCTTTCAAATACATAAATCTTTAAAAAATTTATTTTAAAAAAATTCTTCTACTAAGATTTAATCAGGCCAGTGACATATAAATATTATTTCACAGCCAAACTGAAGATTGAGGAAAAAAAAAAAAAGAAAAGAGCAAATATTTTAAAAACAATGACCTCTTAGGAGTTTGCAGCACCTTTTTAATATATATATTTATTATTTGATAGGCAAAGTTGGTGAGGAGGAGAAATAGATCTTCCATCCGCTGGTTCACTCCCCAGATGGCCACAGTGGCCAGAGCCAAGAGCTTCTTCCAGGTCTCCCACGTGGGTGCAGGGGCCCAAGCATTTGGGTCATCTTTCACTGCTTTCCCAGGTGCATTAGCAGGGAGCTGGATCAGAAGTAGAGCAGTCCAGTCTCAAACCAGAGCCTGTATGGGATGCCGGCGTCACGGACAGAGGCTTAACCAGCTGCACCACAGCGCCAGTCCTGTTCACAGCAATTTTTTTTAAAAAAAATCCTTTCTCTTCCCCAAATTTCCTTTAGTCTGCGGTGGGGGAGGTGGCAGGAGCTGGTTGGCAAATTCAGTAAATCCCTCGCTGGTGAATTTCCCAGTAAACTTATCACAGTGTCACCACTAGTGATGCAACAGCTTCCGTGACAAGCAGTATTTTTAAGGCGGTGGAAGGTGGTATTTTCATTTCCCATTGTTAAGTACAAGATGAACCCAGACGTGACTAGCAGGCGGCTGTAGAGGCAGCCCTAGCGCCTAGGTTGGGTTGATGACCAGACACGGCATTTCCAGAAGCCAGCTTCCAGCCGCGCGAGCTGGTGGCCACTGGGTGGGTGGGCGTGTTTCCAGAGGCCGGCCGTGCCTATTTTGGGCTGCTCTGTGGAGACAGATGTTTCAGAGGGAGATTGCTGCTGTGTGGGGAAGTGACCCAGGGGCGCTGCTTGCTACGCCACAAAGCCACGAGTCATCGGCACCAACCCTGTTGTCATCCGCTTTAGGAACCTCTTAAAGTGCTCAGAAGCCGTCCTAGACTGTCCAAGGCCGAGGCTTGCCTTGTAGAGCCCTGGTCGGCCATGGCCCCACCTTTTGTTAAGCTAGGTTGCTTGGAGGGAAGCGACTGGGTCTCCTGAGTCAGAGACCCCCGCAGGGTTGTTAGAGACCTTTATGTCTTCAGAGCTGGTGGCAAGGGCTCCCTTTGTAGACAGAGAAACCAAGGGCCTGAGAAACGGGGCTTATCCAAGGCCACAGCGGTCCAGTATGTTCAAGTCCGAGGCTCAACCCCAATCCCTCTTCTGAGAGGTTTTCCTTCACGTCCTCTACACTTTGGGTAGTCACCGCACTGTAATCAGAATAATGCGATGACACGCACCTTGTCACGCACATCACGAGCTTCCTGTGAGCAGACTTGACACCTTCAGCCGTCTCCCATCTCACCCCCTGGCTGCGGCAGGTGCAGGGAGGCCCATCCTTACAGGGATGTGTGCATCCTCAGGACATCTCCACGGAGCCCTGCTGCTGCTCCCAGGTGGCCAGCACCCCTGCTGGCCCCGCGAGGCAGAGGCGGCCCTGCCCGGTGCCCACGGCTTTCTGAAAAATAACACGCTTTGGATTTGTACTTTAAAAGACGCACAGCCCAGCAGCCTGTGTTTTACTAACACAGCAGGTGTTAACACTAACGCAGCGGGTCCACCGAAGGGGACAAGAAGAGAGCCGAAGCAGAGAGGCTGCTGGACACGGCTGGCCCCGTGGGACGTGGAAAGGGGGCTGTGGCTGGCGGGCATTTGCTGAGATTCAGTGTTGTAACTCGGTCTGGGTTTCCTCGAGTGTGCCGTGTTCTTCCAGGGTGGAGGGCCTTTGGCGCCACCAGGACACGCGTCTGGAAACCCGTGCCTCTCATCCTTAGCCAGTTGGTAAGAAGCCGATGTGTTTGTGAGCAGCCCAGCGAGCCCGCTGGCCTCGGCTTTGCCATCAGATCCCTGTCATTGGTGTGCGTCCACACTCCCGAGAATGCTCCAGGGACCCGCGGACGCGTTTCAGGACCTCCTTTTTGATCCAAGCGCAAATAGAATCGGTCTGTTAATTCGGAGGGCTCCGGAGAGTCGGCCGCGAGAGTTTCTGCTTTTGGAGCAGGGGCAGGTGCTGCACCTGTGTGGGGCCAGCGCCACGCGGCTCCTCCAGGGGGCAGTGTCCATGCCCCCACGGATTATTCCCAATCCGACTTTCCCGCATTGAGCTCACTCAGGAGGCTGGGCAGCAGTATAAACAGCTTTACGTAATGCCAGAGACGGCATGCATGGGGAACTAATTTTCTAAATTTCTTGTCTGTTTTTAGACTTTAGCCTGCGTGGCTACTACTCGTCCTCGTAGTAACTGCCATTTGCTGGAAGGAGTTCATCCTGGACAGTTGAGAGGGAGGAAGTTACTTTTCTTTCCCAGGAGTCATAGACTTGCTTGTTTCATTTTTTTTTTATTTTTATTTTTATGACCCCAGTTCTTCCCATTCTAATTATTCTAACAAAATCTGCAGTGCAACACATGCATAGGAAATTCACGTGCATGGGTGAATTTCCCGAGGAAGGCCGGGCCCCATTGGCTACGGAAGGGATCGGCACAGCAGGTCTGTGTTGGGCAGAATGTTGGGGTTCCTACTGCGAAGCAATGCTGGAGAACCTTGGCTTTGGCTGCTGTCTGGTCCTAGCCATCTCCCACACCCACCCAGGGGAGGGAGCACACGGTTCTTTTTCCCTGATAAGGCGGAGTTGCTTGAAAAGTAAAACTCTCATTAAAATTTCAAATTTGGCGTTCTTACAGACAGCTCCACTTTAGGGAGTGGGAGGGCCGTGGGGTGCCCCGCTGACTGCCTAGTGCCCCAGTTTTCATACGGCCTGCTCTCCTGCTCCTGAACACGCCCCCCCCCCACCGAGGCCTCCCTGTGTTGGTGTGTTCTGATGCCAGCACAGACAATTTCATTTCTCATCCCGGGTGCGTCCCCTCGGTGGCTGGAGGGAGGAAGGAAGCCAGGAAAGGGGCGGCCTCCTGGGGGCCTGTGTGGATTTTGCAGGGAAATGAGTGGGAGAGTCAGGGTCTCAGGGGATAGGGGATCTCCATGGGCAAGTTCTCACATGTGCCTCGGCTGTTATCGCTTGAATTCCTCATGACCCCGTGGGGTCGCATCCCCGCTTCTATTTCCGTGAGTACTGGCGGACGAGAAACAGCTGAGTGGGTTTTAATGCGCGCACCCATTCCTGGACCATGCCGAGGGCAGCCCTGGCCAGGAGTGTCGGCGTGCAGGGCAGCGCGCTAAGATGGAAGCATTTTCTCCCTCTCTCCTAGGAACTTGCAGTTCGGAGGGACAAAAGAGGACAGGAAGTATATTGAGTGCTCTGACTTGTCGGATGTTGTCTTTTCGTATGGTAGCAAAACAGTCCCCGGGAGTAGAGCTGTTGCGTGGGACATGCGGATGAAGTGGCAGGTTAAGATAACGTGGGGTCTGAAGTGTTCCGGTTTGGAAGGGTCTCCAGGATGGACGGGGCGAGGAGGGGGCAGAAGGTGCACGCGCCTTGTAGGGTCTCGCTGGTGTCCGGAGGTGTGCACGTGTGCAGTGTAGACACACAGGTGCTTGGAAAAACAGCTGGGCGGATACTCAGGAAAGCATCTGGGCAGGGAAATGGAAGCTGGAGAGGAAAGCCGGCGGCAGGAGGTGGATTTGCTCTGTATGTTTCTATCTGTAAATTCTCACCTGCACACAATCAAGAAACCTGTATAAACAAGGAGAGGCAAAGGCCTGGCGCGGCTGTAGAGGTAAGGGCACCCTTCTGATCCCAGCCCCTCCCCGCACCCGCCGCACCTCCCTACACGTGCTGTCGCGCTTCCGTGCCTCGGTTTACTCTAACGGATGCTTGCGTCGCACGGTTCTGGCGGGGATTCAGCGAGTCCTCTGTGGACGAGCTGGTCTGTACTGGACACGTCGCAGGCACTGAGTCTACGTCCTTTGTTAGAACGCGCAGCGCCTGGCTCCTCAGCTGTGGGTGGGAGCTCCTCAGCTCGCAGTCTTCCCGGGGGGCACCGTTAGTAACCACAGTGTATCTTCTCAGAGTGCTCCTGGCGCTCATTCACCGTCCTGTCACGTGTGGTGGGCGGAGCCTCCGGAGTGACACAGACAGAAGGGGTCCGCGCTGCTGTGCGGCGAGAGCTCGGGTTCCAGTGGGGGAGCACTGCTGACCTGGAGCGCCTCCCCGGGTGTGCAGCCCGCGGGTCAGCCACAGACACACACGGCAACGCTGGGGTCTTTCTTGCTCCTTAGGAAGACTACGATCGTCTGAGGCCTTTGTCTTACCCAATGACTGATGTCTTCCTCATATGCTTCTCCGTCGTCAACCCAGCCTCGTTTCAGAATGTGAAAGAGGAGTGGGTGCCGGAACTTAAGGAATATGCACCAAACGTCCCCTTCTTGTTGATAGGAACTCAGGTATGGCTGTGGGGTCTCGCCATTCGCGTTTTGTGCCCTGTCTCGTTGCGGGGAGGGGGCTGCTGACACACAGAGGGAGCCCAGGTGTAGCAAATGATGGAAGTGTTTCGTCTGGGCTGCAAGTTACTGAGTTTTATGCTATTTCTAGAAAGCACAGCGCCCAAAGAAAGCAAGCAGTTGTTTTTGCAAATTCAGTTGTCTCATTCAATCTGGTTTTGGTAATATTATGGGATGTTATTGATCTTTCTTAGATTGATCTCCGGGATGACCCCAAAACGTTAGCAAGACTGAATGATATGAAAGAAAAGCCCATATGTGTGGAACAAGGACAGAAGCTAGCAAAAGAGGTATGGAACGTTCGCGGACTTTAAGAGAAGCTGAGATGATGCCAGAAGCCGTTATTTCTTGTGTGCTTACTGTGTGCCGGGCCCTGCGCTGTGCTTGACCCGTGTTGTCTCCTGTGATCCTCGTGCTGACTCAGCGAGGGGAGGCCAATCGTTTCCCCCATGGGCCAGAGAGAACTGGGCTTGGAGCTGACCAGTGACTTGCCCAAGGTCCTGCAGCTCAGACCAGAGCCGGACGCCAGGGCCCAAGCTGTTACACCTGTGCTACATTGCCAGCGGTATTTCCTTAAAAAGTTGCCTACAAAGGTCCTTTCAAAAGTCCATGGAAAAACGCTGCAAAAAGGTTTTGAAACCCATGCATAGTTTTGGCATAAAATACGACCCCATGAACTTTTTCTTCAACTACCTCTTATATGCATGGATTTCAAAAATGTCTTTGCACCCAAATCAAGTTAATCTTTTCATTCCATTTTCCACCGGTTTTTGTGACACCGTGGTGTAGAAGACGCGTCTGGAACGGTGCTGACGGGATGCTGTCAGCCCTGCTTCCCCGCTGCTGCGTCTTCAGCCGGGGCTCGCGGCGTTAAGGTGGAAAAGGGCCAGAAGATGACAGTTTGAATTTGTGGGGAAAAAAAAAAAAAGATTATAGCCAAGTTTGAAAAGACATGTGTTGAAATTTCCTCCAGTCTTTTTATGAAAAGAGAACTGAAAACGTGAGCCTTCTGAAAAACGATGTGAGGTGATGCATGCTGTATCTTCTCACTCACAGCGTTCCCCACCCCAAGGCTGGGGGCACTTCTTATCTGCCGGCCCTACCGTTAAGAAATTCGTTTTTTTAAGTGCTGTGACTTTAGTAGGGCTTTTGTGGAAGCAGCATCTGATCGGGGCTTTCTGGGTGTACTAGGAGGAGGCAGAAGACAGCCAGAAAGCTTTGGGGAGGACGCTGCTTCCTAAAGCAGATGTAAATGCCCCGCTGGCAAGTGGCTGTAGGGATTCCACGTGTCCTGTTTTGTAATTGTGGGGAGAGAAGGAATTTCTAAATGCCCTAAAGGTAAAAGTCGTAAGTGGAAGATAGTGATGATTTAGCTACCTAGAAGTTTCCTATCACACGAAATGCCAGGAACAAAATGTAGAAGGCACGTAAACCAATTTGACAAGTGTGGCAAACCAATGGGTAAGCATCCTCCGTACACCGGGCCCCTGGCATGTGGATTAACCAGAAAAAGACACTCACCCTCAACAGACAAGTGGCCAAGCAACAGTAGTGGGAGCTCCACAGCAGTGGGAATTGCAGATTGCATCGAGAGGAAATCTGTTCAAACTCATTTAGTAATCAGATGTCAGTTTAATTTCCACCTAGCAAATTGGCAACAGATGAGAAATGAACCGTAGCCACTGTTCCGAGGGTGCAGGCAAATGGGCGCGCCGCTGGACTGTGTGTTGTTGAATAAAAGCAATCTTGACAGCATGCAAAAGCCTTTAACCTCACGCTCTCATTTGAGCCAGCAATTCTGTATGTAACCATTTATCCCAAGACAATAATTGGGATGTTGGTCAAAGGATATACAGCTCAGTTAGACGGGAGGGATGGAGCTTCTGAGCACCGCGGCACAGCACAGGGACCACGGTTCAATGACGCTGCATTGTGTGTTTCAACGCTGCTGAGAGTACATTTCCAGTGCTCCGAGCACAAAAGATAATAGGTATTTGAGGCGGCAAATGTGTCAGTGTGATCTAATCATTCCGCACTGTATCCACATAGCAACACTTCGCACCTTACAAGTATGCGCAGTTGTACTTTGTTGATTTATAGTAAGAAAAGGAAATTGTTGGGGATGTGCTCAGCGAGACAGCTCGAGATGCTGCGTTGTTCCTAATGGCAAAGAATGCCCTGCCCCTGTGAAAACGCCTGCTGCCCTATCTGCTGAGATGTTCAGATCAATTATGTAGTTTCAGGGAAAAAAAAAAGGGAGTTGCAAAACACGATGACCCCATTTCTAGACCTGTCAGCAGGCCCTGTTGGTCCCATGTTAAAACACTTTCTTCACTTGCCTTCCTCAGTTCCTCTCCTCGGCATCTCCTCCCTCCTCACTTCCCTGGTCCCCAGTATTGGTGGTGCGGGCCCCCGCATGCAGCATGGTGGCTGGCTTTTTCTTCCTGGGGTTGCTTACGCCCTCTGCCTGTGGGAGCTTCCCAGGGCTGTATGGCTTGAACAGTATCCGGCTGAAGGCAAATCGATGTCTGGCCTGGACCTTGTCCCTACACTGCCAGATGTGGCTATGCAGCCATCATCAAGTGGCTGGACATGTCCAGTGCAGGATTCTTAAGTTTCACCCCCGGGGCCTGTCCTCCCGCTTACTCAGGTCTGCCTTCAGCGCTGAGCCTCACATTTCAGCAAAACGTGCCGCTCTGCCTTCAGACCACACTCGAGTTCAGACACTTCGTCCTGGTCATCTCCCGCTGGCCTGGATTCACTCCAGCGGCTCCTAACTCACCTTTCTGCTTCTGTGTCTGGACCCCAGGATGACCTGTTCTCAACTCGGCAGCCAGGGTGGATCTTGAAGTGTACGCTGGGTCAAGGCACTGTTCTGCTCAGTCCTCAGAGTAGCCACCCAGGCCTGGCCCCAGGCCCCTGCCCGCCTCTAGCACTCTGGCCTCCTTGCTGCGCCCTCCGCTGGGCTGTCGCTCCCTGAGTGGGCATCACTCACTCTCACTGCTTGCAGGGCTCTGCTCCGAGCTCACTCAGTGTGACCCTGCTTACCTCCCGTGTGGTCCCCCCAAGTGAAGGCTGACCTCCCTCTGAAACACGGTAAGGCAGGACAGGGTCTTCATGGCTCCCTGTGTGTTCTCACAGTGGGCCAGGAAAAGCAAGAGTCAACTGTTGGTGACCACGGGAGGTGAAGTTCTTCGGGCCCTCCCTGGCCTCACTCCCCACCACGCCCACTTGCTTACTGCTCCTGCGCGGGCATCTCTGCCTCCCAGGAGCGCTGCCCCAGCTGTCCCTCACCCTCACCGCTCACCTCGCCCTCCCGCCAGCGTCCCCAGGCGTTCCAGGCCCCTCCTTTGGCCTTTCCTCCCTGGAAGGTCCCTCCAGCTGCTTGGCAGTCCCTTCCCGTGTGCCCCTCTCCCCCGGGAGAACCTAAGCCAAAAGTAGGTGCGCACAGCAGCGACTGTGCCCTTTTATTCAGCCCACTGAAGGGTCTCAGCATCTGACCCCAGCTTGATGTATATAAAAGGTGCCCAGTGAATGACGAACGGATGGATTTGGCATCTGGAAAGTGTGTGTCGCTCCCCCTCTTCGTGGAGGAACGACACATGACCCTGCGCTGTTCTTTCGTCTGCTCGGCCCTCCCTGGGTTTGCTGCTGGTTCTTCCCGGGTTGGCTACTATCCCTTCCACCTCCGTGGAAGGGCAGTTCCCCCTGGCCACATTCCCCACTTCCGCAGGGGAGCGGCACACCGCCGGCCGGCTTTCTCGGGGGCTGCACGGGTTCCCTTAGATGTTCCCCATAGATGTTCCTGGTGCATGCCGTCTCTCTCCTCCTTTATAGTCCTCCTCCGCCAATCCTAACTCGGCTGCCCACACGCCGAGTACGCTGCTCTCCTCCAATCAGGAGCAAGTCCTACAGTTTATTAGCTGAACTGGAGGCAGCTGTGTGGAAGCTGTTTACTTCTCTCCCAGCGCCATATTGTGGGAGAGCAGATGCATAGAATAAGTCTTAATTCCAGTAACTCAGTCCAGTCCGGGCTGCTCCCCACAGTGTGCAGGGCTGGCCCTAGTGTTTTAGCAGTCAGTTCGCCCTGCTTCGCTCACTCTCACAGCTCTATTTTATAATTTTGCGTATCGCGATGTATTTGTGTCACACACCAGTTGTACAGAAAAGGTTTTATAGCTCTCTGCTTTTTTCCCTCGCAGATAGGAGCATGCTGCTATGTGGAATGTTCAGCTTTAACCCAGAAGGGATTGAAGACTGTTTTTGATGAGGCTATCATAGCCATTTTAACTCCAAAGAAACACACAGTAAAAAAAAGAATAGGATCAAGATGTATAAACTGTTGTCTGATCACGTGAGAGCCATCTGCGGTGGCCAAGGGAACTGTCCACTTCTCAGATCGCGTGCAAATGCCGCAGCTACACCCAGACCTCTGAAAGAAGGAAGCGGTTTCATGTCCTCAGAATTCTACAGCGTTTATTAAGAATGTTTCTTAAATGTCTAAGAAGCAGCAAACAGCATCTGAAGCCACAATCTATTATAAATACTTTATTTCAACTAGAAGATACAATCTCTCAGGGGTTTCATAGTTTAAAAAGCTACAATCACATCATGTTAACTATGTAAAAAAACAGTGCTGTAAATGGAACTGCTTGGCTTTGACCGTAGACATTTCTGCACAGCCCTTATGGAACCTGCACAAAGAAATATCTTCTCCCTTTGCTCCAATTAATTGTTCTTGTATGTAAGTTGCTTTCTATTCCGGTATATCCAGAGTGGTGACAGAACAAGGCCAGCCACGTAGCCAAAGGTCGCTCCGAGCGTACAGGAGATGGGCCACACCTGCGGAGAGAATGTACGAGATCAAAAAAGAACAAATGTCTTCTTGAGCACAAGTTAAGTGTATCCTAAGTATTTCTATATTAAAGCTTAATGTGCTTTCTTAAAGAATGCCAAAAGTGTAATAAGGTCATACCTGCATTTATCATGAACACTAAAAAATGTACACATTTTAGTTAATGTGCATTCAATTGTATCAAGGCTTCTGCGAATTGTAGATTTAGTTTGCTCCCCAAACTGCATGAGATACAGGCTAAAGTTACAAATTAAAATTTTGGGTCAGAATTTGCCATAATACTGGACTCAATTTAGCTTTCTGAACTAGCTAGTGATTTAAAAAAAAAAAAACAAATCTCATATTGGCTGTGTATATGAAATGAAATGGCAAGTGTGTATGCTGACCAAACCACAACAAACTTTAATGTCGTTAAAGAGGAAAGATGTAGAATTCAAGCATGTTCATGGAATTTATAACAGAGCAGCTGCTTCCACAAAACTCTGTAACGTTCCAGATATAGCACGGGAACTACAGCAGAAGTTATAGAACTGTAACTTGCGTATCCACACAGACTGTAAGTTAAACATAATACTGGCTTCCAAACACCCAGTTTTCTCCAGCCGCATTACATCTCACAATATGACATCAAGCCAGAAGTAAACAGTGTTGGTGGATTTCATCTAGATCAGCGTGTGTCGGTCGCTTGTAAAAGGCTCCGTTTAGAACCACAGTTGGAGACAAATCTTCCTGTTCACCTGGGAACTCACGCCGTATACTGGAGCCATCTCTGATCTCTGTCTTGGGGGAACGGGCCATACAGCTGTGCAGGGGTGAACCATCTTACTCACGCTTCCTTTTACCTGACCCGGCTTCCTGTTTGGTCTGCTGTGAAGCTCTGCCTTATTCCAGACAATAGTGTTAGACACACTTCATTGAGAACAGCATAATGCAGTTTAGAGACGTGTAATCAAATCCATCATTTTTCCAGCTTTTCCTACATTTCAACTTGCTGTTGCCTAAATTACGATTTTTTTAAGTCTTTGGTGAGCTTCTGATAACTTCCATGACTTGAGCTTATAGCTATGTCTCTTGCACAGATTGGGTAATGGAACACTAAACTTTTATACTTGAAAATGATAGCCTTAAGTGCTCCTATCAGTCACAAACCTAGGATGTACTGTCTTGTTGTATGTGAGCTTTGTAGAAATTTTTTAAAATAATGAGCATCATCTTCCCTAGTGAAGATGGAGAGTCTACTGGATAAATGGTCTGGAGCTTTCTCTCTGAGCTAGACATTGGATATCTTCTTTCTCCCAAGACATGGTGGTTCACATTAAGTATCATGGCCTTAAATGTGCTCAAGTGAATCTTAAATGTAACCTTCCATTAAATTTTGACCTAATATTTTTAGGTAGAATTGACAAAAATTGCATAAACCAATCAACATATTAGCTAAGCTATCCAACTTATGCTATAAAGGAATTAAGACAGTAAAGTATTATACATTCCCAAGTTGCCTTTGGGGATTTGATGGGATTTTTTTTTTTTCTTTTTCAAATTCACATCTCTGAAACCCTTCGCACTTGATTTGCTAGCCAATGAAAGTTAAAACCTAGACTCTGTTCTATTCTAAGAGAAACAGATCAGGAAGCTGGAGACATAAACTGGTGTCACCTGTTTCTTGGCGGGCCTCAGTTTCCTCACCTTTCACAAATGGGAGGAAGAACATGATCTCCAGTGTCTCCCGTCAACCCTTAGATTCTCACCTTTCTTATTCACAATAATCATTGTTGGATGTTAACCTTTTGGTTTCACATTCTCAAGATGGTAAAATCATATATTTAGATTATCAGAACTCTAAAGCAAAGATGATTGTATCATCTGAACCTGAGGTGCCTTAGGTACTCTATTGACCTTGATGGGGTTTGGAGTTTCCCATTGCTTATTAAGAGTGTTTCAATTGCTTTGGTTCTTTACTATTTCTGTTTTGCAAAATCCCTTCTGGCCACTTTAACTAAAAACCAAAGATTTGTTTTCTTCATAAGCAGATTGTAGAAAAATTGCCTTATTTGCAGAAGCATGTCTTCATTAAAGGCTTAGGTTTCAAGAGAAATTCAAACTAACCACTGGAATGACTATTTCAAACTAGCGAACTATCTGGGAAATAAAATACTTCAAAAATATCTGATTGACATGAACTTTGCTAGTGAATGCAAATACATTACTTCAAATAAGGTCATGTATGAATGAACTCATAAGAACTTTGTAGTTAATCAGTTTTGCATAAAGAGATTTACCAGTTCTTAAACAATTTTTGGGGCTCCCTGAAATCTTATTTAATACTTTGCTAACTTATACCCTTATTCTATCTCTATAGCTACATTTTAGGTTAGTCTGTGTTGAATTACTGTGTTTCCAATAAGCAGAGCTTGAATTAATGGTTTTTGTTATGAATTATCTTAGTTAACTTACTACATACTGCTTCCATTTGACTTTCATTATTAATTTTCAATACCAAATTAAATACTGGTTTGTTGGTTGTTGCTTTTTAAGTGATTGTTACTTTAACAGTGTCCCTCCTTAACATATGGGGTTACAAATAAAATAATATGCATAGTTCACTATCTATGTAAACCACTGAACTTCTTAGTTTGTATTTAACATTGTATGTGAACATTTGAGAGAATATTCTTTCCTGTTTTCTCATGCTTGTGAGTCTCCTTGTCATCGGCCAAGGGTGAGCACCTGCACTCCCTTAACAAGCTCACTGTCCAGGTGTTGGGAGAATACTAAACCCTGGGGAACGCCAGCTGGATTCTGTGTGAGTCACTGTCACTTCAGCATTGCTTTGTCCTCACACACTTTCACAGACGTTCCTTAAACCACCCAACTTCACCTCCACCTGACAGCCAGATATGAAATCAATGTTTTAAAAGTTTTGTCTAATGCAAGGTTAAGGCTTAGAATCTTTGCTATTTAATGTTATATAAATCCCAAGGAGTCCATGCCATCAGCAGAGTAAAATGCTGGACTGACTTTTAAGATTGTTTGCTAGTAGTGGATCCGCCTTTGTACTTAAAATAATATCTGCTTGACTTTCCTGAAATAAGCAGTCCTTAATTATAACATAGGCATTTTTAAAAGATAATTTAATTTTAATTTTATTTGAAATGCAGAGAACTTCAATCCACTGGCTTGCTCCCCAGGTGCCACAATCAGGTCTGGGCCAGGCCAAAGGCAAGAGCTCCATTCAGGGCACCCACACAAGTGGCAGGGACCCAAGTACTTGAGCCATCTCACCTGATGCCTCCCAGGGTGCACGTTAGCAGGAAGCTGGATTGGACATGGAGGAGCTGGGACTTGAACCCATAACTCTCAGAGGGGATGCAGGCATTCCAAGTGACAGCTTACCCACTGTTCCCTGAGAGTTTCTTTATCTAACGGCAACATTCCTGCTTTTTGTAGAGCAAAATTTTTTTAAAATGGCAAAAGTAGCAGCTCAATAAAGGGAGATAGCAAGACTGCCTAGTGAAAACCACTCCTCGAGCAATTTCAACTAACTTTCTTATTGCTTTAAAGATTTGAAAACTGTATTATGGCAACGGAATTCATATTGACTTGTCAAGCAATCTAGCTTCCTCATGTGTCTTACTAATTAGGTCTTAGGAGCAAGCATTTGGGACAGTGGTTACTCCCATCAGAGTGCCTGGGTTAGAGCCTCTATTCCAGCTTCCTCCTTATTTGCATCCGTGGGAGACAGCAGGTGGTGGCTCAAATACTTGGGGCCCTGCCACCCACTGGGAGAGAGACTGAATGCCTGGTTCAAGGCTTCAGTCTGGCCCAATTGCCATGGTGAATGGGCATTTGGAGAGTGAATCGGTGGATAGGAGATCTCTCTGCCTTTTTAATTAAAATTACTAAAAATCCGATCTTAAAATTTTCTGTCTTTACGTATAGAGATTTTTCTATTCAACATTCTTCATGGCACAAATAGTATTTAAAAATACATGCAGTATATGGGGCTGGCACCATGGCTCACTTGGTTAGTCCTCCACCTGTGGCGCTGGCATCCCCTATGAACACCAGGTTCTAGTCCTGGTTGCTCCTCTTCCAGTCCAGCTCTCTGCTGTGGCCTGGGAGTGCAGTGGAGGATGGCCCAAATCCTTGGGTCCCTGCACCTGCATGGGAGACCAGGAGGAAGCACCTGGCTCCTGGCTTCAGATCGTCGTAATTCTGGCCATAGCAACCATTTGGAGGGTGAACCAACAGAAGGAAGACCTTGCTCTCTGTCTCTCTCTCTCTGTCTAACTTTATCTGTCAAATAAAAAAAAAAAATACATGTAGTACCAAACAGATGACTCAGTTGCATTACCACAAACATTTCTCCAAATTCTGTTTAATGAAAACAGAAAACTTCTAACAGACATTCATGGAAAGGAAGTCGTTCACAAGTGTTTGACACCAAAATGACAATCTTTTCATCCAGTTTTAAAAAATCAAATTTTTGGCCAGCACCACAGCTCACTTGGCTAATCCTCCACCTGCAGCAATGGCACTCCGGGTTCTAGTCCCAGTTGGGGCGCCGGTTCTGTCCCGGTTGCTCCTCTTCCTGTCCAGCTCTCTGCTGTGGCCCCGGAAGACAGTGGAGGATGGCCCAAGTGCTTAGGCCCTGCACCCGCATGGGAGACCAGGAGGAAGCACCTGGCTCCTGGCTTCAGATAAGCGCAGTGCCGGCTGTAGCAGCTATTTGGGGGTTGAACCAATGGAAGGAAGACCTTTCTCTCTGTCTCTCTCTCTCACTGTCTAACTCTGCCTGTCAAAAAAAAATCAAATTTTTTAAAAAATTATCAAATAGAATAACCCTTGTTGCATAAAAATACAATACAACCTAAGTGGGTACAAATGAAAATTACCATGAAAAAGAAACCCTTCTAAAACCTGAGTGGCTGGGAAGGAGAACTATTATCTATTATTGTCTTCTCTCTGCATCAAGTGACTCCTTGTTATGTATCTTCCATCATAAACTCAAAAAGGCCAATATTCTCTTAAAATAATTATGCTGGAAAGCGGTTCTTTAAAAAGTTCATGAAAATGTGTACTGGAAAAACTCTGCATGGATTTCAAAAAATTTTGTGCCAAAATAAACACCTCTTATTTCCACTTTTGCATGAACTTTCTGAAGTCCCCTTGTGCGTGTGCAGAGAATCAACCTGGCTGCCGTTCTCTGGCTATAGAGCGTACTGCTGTGTGTCCTCCAAACACTCTCTAAGGCCAAGAGGATCTCGGGAGAGTTATACATGGGTCTCCAGGCAGAACTCCTGTCCAAGTCTTGCTACTAGGCCTGGCCCCAATTCATGCAAATAGGTTGGCCTGGCGGGCACTACTCTCACAGGACTGATCCATTCACAGAGCACAAGCAACGCACATACTGTCACAAGCAGCTTTTAAATCCACAACTGCTTCCTGTCAGTTAAGTGTTCTATGTGCCCCTCCCTCCTGAAAACATAAATCATATTCATACAAATTAATATTTTATTTGGGTCTAAAACAATACAATCTCTTTGGTAAAAAGAAATACCAATTAACCTAAAAACATGCAACTCTTCAATCAACCAAATCTATAATCTTATTTTTATCTCTCCTTTCTGCAATTTGCAATAATTCATTTAGTTATAATCCTATGATTTCAAATTTCAATATAAGAAATTATCTGCCATCTGTGACTTAAGAAAATTCATATATCTGTTTGACAAATATTAAATTTTCTCCTGGTAAAACTGGAGGGAAAAATTTAAATACAACAATGTCATATTTATGTGGTATTGGATAGGAATACGTACAAATATTTTTAACAATTTAAAATCTTTAAAATATCAGGTGTTTACAATTCCAAAGTTTCAAAGTCAGTTGATTATAATATTTTACTATTATTAAATCAATTTTACTTTTTAAGTTTAAGAACGAAGTATCTTAGAAAAGACCTGATTATCTGGTCTAATTCCTTTCAGAGGTAGTGACATTGAAGTCCATTGTTTAAACACATTTGTGGGGGCTGGGGGCACAAAAGCATTGTATATTAGCTTAAATCATCCTCCCAAAGACATATTAAATTATGGCCTAAAATTCAGGCACCACCAGGGTGGTCCTGGCATTTAAAGGAAACAGCAAAGAAAAGAAATGCCATATAATAATTACTTGGGCTATACCAAAGAGATCCAAGCTATGGCCATCTTGAACAAAGGAAAGCTATGTTCCAAGTCTCCAGGGATGAAGGGGACCATGTTGCAGTGGGGTTCTTGTTTGAGTTTTATGTCTCTGGCCAGCCAAGTAATTCTAAGCAAGATGTGTTCTCCTCCCTCCCACACTTTGACTTTCTAGTATATAAAAAGAAATGAAAGTGGTCAGCATTCAGCTACCTGTGTGATAGTGCCAAACCGCATGTGTGGCACACTATCTGCAAATGTTACCCTTTTTGCTGTTATCTCCGAAGTCAAACAGGATTGAATATTATGTGAAATCCAAACAGCCTGAACCAGTGTAACAATTCTAGAGAAACCAAAAAATTAACCATCAGCTCAACTAACTGAAGTGCTGCTGGGCACAAATAAAACAGAGACGACACAAATGAAACCTCAACTAATGCAATTTGCATTTTTGGGGAGGAATGCTACAAATATAATCATTAAACCACTTTCATAAGTCACAAATGCCTACAAGGTTATGCAGAAATTATCAGATGCTAAGTATCTTAGAAGGATTTTATAATTTAAGCCTCATTGGCTGGTGCCGCGGATCACTAGGCTAATCCTCCGCTTTGCGGCGCCGGCACACCGGGTTCTAGTCCTGGTCAGGGCGCCGGATTCTGTCCCGGTTGCCCCTCTTCCAGGCCAGCTCTCTGCTGTGGTCAGGGAGTGCAGTGGAGGATGGCCCAAGTGCTTGGACCCTGCACCCCATGGGAGACCAGGAGAAGTACCTGGCTCCTGCCATTGGATCAGCGCGGTGCGCCGGCCGCAGCGCGCCGGCCGTGGCAGCCATTGGAGGGTGAACCAACAGCAAAGGAAGACCTTTCTCTCTCTCTCTCTCACTGTCCACTCTGCCTGGCAAAAAAAAAAAAAAAAATTTAAGCCTCACTAGCAAGTGGCAGAGCCAGGATTTGAACTCAGTGATCTGTTACCAGAGCTCTTAATCATCATGTTATCTGAGTATCTATTAACAAAACATGTGAGTTTAAAAACCTCATGGTCAATTTCCCTTGCTCAGAATAACCAACAACACTTCTTATCAGATCACTATCTTGGCCAGCGCTGTGGCTCACTAGGCTAATCCTCTGCCTGCGGCACCGGCATCCTGGGTTCTAGTCCTGGTTGGGGCGCCGGTTCTGTCCCAGTTGCTCCTCTTCCAGTCCAGCTCTCTGCTGTGGCCCGGGAAGGCAGTGGAGGATGGCCCAAGTCCTTGGACCCTGCACCTGCATGGGAGACCAGGAGGAAGCACCTGGCTCCTGGCTTTGGATCGGCAGAGCGCGCTGGCCGTAGCAGCCATTTGGGGGGTGAACCAATGGAAGGAAGACCTTTCTGTCTGTCTGTCTCTCTCTAACTCTGCCTTTAAAAAAATTTAAAAAAAATAAAAATAAATATTTTCTAATATGACAAAGACGACCAACAACAGAGGGTAGCACCCTACCGTATTCTCTTTATCAAATGCCCTGCTGCCTTCTACAGAGAAAGGCTTCCCCCAACTATACAGACTGGACATTACTTAAAATCATTTAAGATTTATATTAAGAAAAAAAAACTTTTCCACAGAAAAGACATTTTCAAAAGGCCTTCTAATTCAATGAAGAAATAACTTTTAAAATACAAATATGCTAAAATGTCTCATAGAACTCTCATCCTTAACCATCTTTTGCTTGTATTCAGGAACATTATACAAAGTCAAATTTGAGTTCAAGGTAGAGAAAATGGATGAAAACATGTTAACAGCTGATGTGGGATGTTGGGTGTGTGTGCATGTGTGGCCTTAAAGAAAGTATAACTGCTTAACCACACACTCTGGTTTCTCTGACTAGACTATAAATAAAGCCAGGCCACAATCCAGAAATGCTTGCTTTACCAAAAATCTATCAAATATGTATTAGGTTACAAGGCACAGAGAACTAAAAGCCTTTAAAATAGTTTAGATAATAAAGTTTATGAAGTACTTGCAATCTTGTGAAACTTTGCTTTGGCATAATCTTCATTTTTCAGAAATGCCTTATTCTTTCATATGATTACTACTTCTCTGGTAGATTCTGTCAGTGCCAGAAGCCATACTGAACACTGGTTCTGTGTAGTGAGGGTGATTAGTATACAAATAACAGCAATAAAAACAAACGGCAACCAGGTTTGCTAAAAACAAAAGCTGAGAGAGAAAAATAAAAACCTCCTCATTTCTCTAGTTGAATAGCACATAGCTGCTAAAAGGCAGATGGACAGATGAGTATTAGATGAATAAAAGATTTTTAATTATAGACCAATTCCATCATTCCCTTAACAGTGTTATCATAATTTAAAAAGATGAAAGTGAACAAGTGGGTCATTAACTTAGAATATTCTAACCTAACAGCAAAGATGATTGAACAGCCAGTATTATTCCAACTGAATGAACCATTCTTAATGAGACCAACATTTTGTTATATATGTAAATTAGCTAGCTGGAAAAAGTAATTCAAGTGGAATTCTACATTAATCTTAAAAGTCTAATATTGATTTGGTTCCAGCTCACCCTTACTGTAAATAAACACTGAGGTAGAAAAATGAATCAATAGCTGAAAGCCTGTACAAAAGTGAGTAATTGGCTTTTAAATAATTAACATACACATTTTCTAAGCAAACATAAACCCACATTTCATATGCACATCTACTTCCTATGATTCATTTTCTACTATCTGCATGGTCTTGGAAATAGAACACTGAAATGTGTCTAAGACATCAAACTTTTACACTCTAAAATATCCCATCTATTCACACACTGATACATGGAAGATGGCCCAAGTGCTTGGGCCCCACACCTACATGGGAGACCCAGAAGAAACTCCTTGCTCTTGGCTTTGGATCAGCTCGGCTCCAGTTGTTCCGGCCATTTGGGGAGTGAACTAGTGGATGGAAGACCTCTCTCTGCCTCTGCCTCTTTGTGACTTTGCCTTTCAACTAAATAAACAAATCTTTAAAAAAAAATTTAGAAAAATCCTTGAAGTTATAGATTCAAAGATGCTAATCACAGTAGTGCTTATTATAGTAATATATTGGCATAATCTAAATGGTCAATAGTGAATTTATTAAACTTTATATTGGCTTACTACAATGTCTTTAAAAAAATCAAAACAAATTATCTACTAGCTCAGTGACCTTGGAAATGTTCCTTATCATTTAGGTGTCGGTTTTGTCATCTGTAAAATGGGGATAAAAAGAGTACTTATTTGACAGTACTTTACCAAGCATATTGACTTGACCCCATTATGATAGGAAAGGAAAAATCTGGTATTTACTAGCTTCTTCTGATATCTCATACCTTTACTGCAAAAATTACTGTGCTATATGCTTTTTATTTTTTAAAAAAGATTTATTTATTCATGTATTTGAAAGAGGCAGAGGTAGAGAGAAACAGAAGTCTTCCATCCACTGGTTCACTCCCCAGATGGCTGCCAACGGCTAGAACTGGGCTGATCCAAAGCCAGCAGCCATGAGCTTCCTCTAGGTCTCCCACACAGGTACATGGGCCCAAGGACCTGGGCCATCTTCTACTGCTTCCCAGGCCATAGCAGAGATCTGGATCAGAAGTGGAGCAGCCGGGACTCAAACTGGTGCCCCTATACAATGCTGGCATTGCAGGTGGTGGCTTTACCCGCTATGCCACAGCGCCGGCCCCACTATATGCTTTTTAAGATCAATATTCAATTTGGCCATCAATCAAGTTAAGAAAACATAAATCTAGGCCGGCGCCGCGGCTCACTAGGCTAATCCTCCGCCTTGCGGCGCCGGCACACCGGGTTCTAGTCCCGGTCAGGGCGCTGGATTCTGTCCCGGTTGCCCCTCTTCCAGGCCAGCTCTCTGCTGTGGCCAGGGAGTGCAGTGGAGGATGGCCCAGGTGCTTGGGCCCTGCACCTCATGGGAGACCAGGAAAAGCACCTGGCTCCTGGCTCCTGCCATCGGATCAGCGCGGTGAGCTGGCCGCCGCGCGCCGGCCACGGCGGCCATTGGAGGGTGAACCAACGGCAAAGGAAGACCTTTCTCTCTGTCTCTCTCTCTCACTGTCCACTCTGCCTGTCAAAAAAAAAAAAAAACATAAATCTAAAACAAAATGACAGTAAACATAAAAGTTGATAATAGGGAATTTTGGCACCTTCCCTCTGAATTATTAAAATTATCTCTAATATGTAGCCACAAAATAAGCTTATTTATTCCTACATATATGTAGAAAAAATAATTTAAAAGAAAAAAGGCAACCTAGATGCTGTGACACTGGGACAAGTCCCAAAGAAGCAGCCTAGAATACAACAACAGAGGGAGTCAGTATCTCTCCTTAACTGAACAACAAACAGGATACACAACAGCTTGCTTCATCAGCTTTGGGATCATTGTACAAACAGGTATCTTGAAGCTTTAAGTAACTAACACCAACCTGCCATGGTCTTCCCCAATCCAAGGGAATAGGAAATGCTCCAAGCCATGCTCCTATAAAACTAGCAATTGTAGTGATCTGGAGACTATTCTCCCAAATGGATGAAACTCTGTAAAACACAAATATGCAAATCATTAGTGGTATACCTGGGTATCTTAGCTGCTGGAGATTAAACAAGCAGTAACACAAATGAATGTTTTCTGTTCATTTAAAATGAACATCTCAATTTGACAAGCAGAAATTTACCATCAACTGTTGACAATTAATTAGTAAGAAGATATAAATGTATTTCCATAATACACACTCAGTACAAGTCAAACATTATACAAGCGCATTTGCAGTGATACCCAAGTCTTCCTACCACTCTTATCAATTCCTGGTTTCCTGTCTCAGAGACTAATGCTGTTACCAAACTATTACATATCCTTGCAAAAATATTTTATGCATGTACTAACAGTTTCTTTTTAAAGGATATTCTATTTGCATTAAGTGCAATGCACACATGTAATATATCCTCCCAAACAAAACTCCAGTGCATCATGTTATAAATTCAATTTTGTTTTTTTCTTTGTTAACAGCTATAATATTATTATACTGTTTCAGACAGTACTCATTTATTCAACTATTCTTTCTTATGATACATTTCACTTACATAAACCAACTGTACAAATGGTGTACTGAAAGTACACATCCAAGGCTGGTGTTGTGGCACAGCTGGTTAAGCCACTGCCTGTGACACTGGCATCCATATGAGCACTGGTTCAAGTTCCAGCTGCTCCACTTTGGATCCAGTTCCTTACTAATAAGCCTGGGAAGGCAGCCAAAGATGACCCAAATACTTGGGCACCTACCACCCACATAGGAGACCCAGATGGATTTCCAGGCTGCTGGCTTCCCCCTGGCCCAGTCCCAGGCTTTGTGGCCTTTTAGGGAGTCAATCAGCAGATGAAAGATCTAATTCTGCCTCCTAAATAAATAAATATATCATTTTTAAAAAATGGAAGTACACATCCAAGAGTGTAAAGGTGAAAAGACTTGAATCTTCCATTCTCTTAGGAGGTTTTAGTTTTAGCCTGCCCCTTACATGCAAACTATCACATTTAAGATGAGGCTGGACACAGTACAGTAAAAGCCCCCACAATGCAGTAAGCAGGGTCCAAACATTCAATTACTTAAAAAGCAGAGTGGAGTTACTGTGAAGTTTAGAAAAGCAGCATGTTCTGACTAGAAAACGTTTTGCTGGATGATTTCTCTCATTAGAAATAGGCCAATTCCGGCACCTGCGGCGCCAGCACACCGAGTTCTAGTCCCGGTCGGGGTGCTGGATTCTGTCCTGGTTGCTCCTCTTCCTGTCCAGCCCTCTGCTGTGGCCAGGGAGTGCAGTGGAGGATGGCCCAAGTGCTTAGGCCCTGCACCCGCATGGGAGACCAGGAGAAGCAACGGTGCGCTGGCCACAGCGGCCACTGGGGTGAGAACCAATGGAAAAGGAAGACCTTTCTCTCTGTCTCTCTCTCTCACTGTCCACTCTGCCTGTCAAAAAAAAAAAAAAAAGAAAAAAAAGAAAGAAAGAAAAAGAAATAGGCCAATTATTACACACAAAATGTGTGCTGAATTAAGGAATTTCCAAATGATAAGTCAGTTGGTACACCAATCCTTCTGTCACCTGTCCATTTTACACCCCTACAGGCACAAGGTTAGAGCCTTAGCTTGCTTCTGTTGAGAAGAACTGGGGCTTAAAGCAGTCATTGTATATCCAAGTTTGTATTATTTGCTGGCCTTTCCTGTTCTTCTTCTTTTTCTTTTAGATTATTTATTTGAGAGGCAGAGTTACAGAGAGGGAGTAACAGAGAGATCTTCCATACACTGGTTCACTCCTCAAATGGCCGTAACAGCCAAAGCTGGGCTGATCTGAAGACAGGAGCCAGCAGCTTCTTCCGGGTCTCCCATGTAGGAACGGGGTCCCAAGCACTTGGGCCATCTTCTGCTGCTTTCCCAGGCGCATTAGCAGGGAGCTAGATCAGAGGTAGAGCAGCCAGGACTTGAACCCGCATCGCAAGTGAACACTTAACCACAATGCCAGCCCCATCTCTTTAAATTTATATAGTAGCTATATTTAGAGTCATGCAGTAACTATCAATCCAAGTCAGTTTCTTCAACTAGGATTCAACAGAACAGAAATTTGTTCCCATCTTGGAGGGAGAAAAACTGGCTGAGTCAAATGTAAAGAGAGAACTGCACTGCTCAGGCAAGTTTCAGGATTTTCTAGGGTAATTTTGGATGATACATGGCTGCAAATGCTGCCCAGCCTCCACTACACACAGCTCCTATGTTCTGCAGCACAGAAAATGAAGTTCTTGGAGAGACAGTGTGGGAGGGGAAGAACAGAGTTTATTCTGTCAGGGAGAGTTTACCTTCTCTATTTTATGGCAGAGGAGCAAGTTCAGCTGGCTTTAAAAAAATAGGCACTACTAGGTATGGAACTGGAGAACTGGAGAAAAGGCTGCACTGCACTTCAGAGAACATGGGTAAGACTGGGTGAGATCACAAGGCTGGAAAAGGAGGTTAGCGTTAGGATGTTTTAAAATATTAGATTTATTGAGCCTGGTCAAAACTTATCCTATAATTTTTTTTCCAGCCATACAATTCACTCCTTTACAGTTCACAACTCAACGGTTTTTGTACATTCACAGAGCTGTGCAGCTACCACATCACTCCAAAAAGAAACCCTTTACCCATTAGTAGTGACTTCCTATTTCTTCCTCACCCTACCCCCAAACCTTCCTCAGGCCCAGGCAACCACTAAGCTCGGTCTCTATGGATATGCCTATTCTGGACATTTCACACAATGGACTCACACAATGTGCAGTATTTTTTTCCCCACTCAGCATCATGTTCAGGGCTCCTCCACGTTGTTGCCCGTGTCAGTGCCTGCTGCCTTTTTATGGCTCAATCCTGTTCCCATGGATGAACATTCCACATTTTAGCCACTCAACAGTGGACATTTGGGTTGTTTCAACTTTGTGGCTACTATGAATAATGAAGCCATTGACATTCACGTACATGTTGCTGTGTGGATGTGCATTTTGATTTCTCATGGGATTATAACCCAGAAGTGAATTGTTAGGTCGTTTGGCAACTCTATGTTTAATGTTTTAAGGAACTGCCGACTGTTCTCCAAAGTGACTGAACTATTTTAAATTCTCACAAGTGGCATATGAGGGTTCCAGTTTTTCCATATCCTCCTAACACTTGTCATTACCTTTCTGGATTATAGCCATTCTAGTGGGTGTGAAATGGTATCTCACGGTAGTAGATTTAGGAACGTCTTGAGTGTCAAACTAAAGGAGCCACAGAAGGTCCCAAATCAAGGCAGTAAAATGATCAGAACTGTTTCAAAAAGACTAATATGCATTCTCACACTTCTGAACTCTATGATCCTTGGACAGGATATGGGTCTTCACATTTTTCACTGTTTCAGCACCTCTGTGGATATCTTATGCTATTAAAATAAAGCATGGGGCCGGCGCTATGGCCTAGCAGGTAAAGCCGCCACCTGCAGTGCCAGCAAATGATATGGACGCAGTTTGAGACCTGGCTGCTCCACTTCCGATCCAGCTCTCTGCTCCTGGCTCCTGACTTCAGATCAATCTCTGGCCGTTGCAGCCATTTCAGGAGTGAACCACTGAGTGGAAGACCTCTTTCTCCTTCTGCCTCTGTAACTCTGCCTTTCATTTCTGCCTAAACTCTCCTAAGAATGTTTTTCCTTAGTCTTTTGCTTGAGACTATTATTTTGAACTACTCTCTACTTCTCTAACCTTTTAATTCATTTTCCCTATCTCTGCCTTTTTGTTTGACTAAGGGATCTTTTCAACTTTGTCTCTACTTCTGTTCAATTTCTTTGATGCCCTATTTTTATTTCCCAAGAGCTTTCTTGTTCTCTGAGCATTTCTTTTGACCGCCTCCTGTTCACACTTATGGATGTAAAAATGTAATTTTTTGAGAGTTATGATTTTTTAATCTTTGTATTGCCTTTATCTCCACTGAGCTTCTCATTGTTTTCATTTCTGGATTTCATTTGAGGCAGTCCTCAAAGTGGTGATTCTTTATTTCTCTTTCTATTAAAATGTCATCTAGGAAATGTAAGACTGGGCAAACCTAGAGACAGAAAAACCCATCTGTGGTTGCCTGAGCTGTGGATGGGGGAGAACGATGGTAACAGGGAATGGCTGCTAAGAGAACAGCTTCTTTTTGGTGTGACGAAATGTCACTGACCTAGACTGTGCCAACAGCTGGATGACCATCTCTACTAAAAACCAATGAGTTACACACTTTAAGTGGGTGAATTTTATGGTGTGCAGTTACAACACAATAAAGCTATCTAAAAATAAGAACAAGGCAAAACACTAAACAAACCGTTGACTTGAGGCTCACTCTGTGTGAGTAGGATGATTCAACCCACAGGCTGCCCTGAGAGGACCCTCAAATGCCAGTTTTTGTAAGTTTTCTTTTGTATCATTTTCCCCAGAGTGAAATATTTCAGTGTTCTACCTAGATGGCATAAACCTGGCTGCCAGCATGCTGAGTCAAGCCAGGGAAGAGGTGGGGCCGCTTGTCTGGTGTGCAGAATTCCATGTCAGCTTTATTTCCTGAAGAGGCTGCACCAAACAGGCTCAGCAACCAGACACAGCCAGAACAACTGGGCACTTGGAGGATACAGTTAGATGTTCTCCACCTCCCTTTCCTCCTCACGTCTTTTCTATTTTGTTCTGCAACCCTAATACTATCAGTTATTTAATTACTTTCTTGATATTGTGAACTTCTTTAAAGTACAAATCTGAACAATTCTTTCATTTAGGGAAACTGTCTTCTAGTTCGTCCTTTTAAAAAAATTTACTAACTTATTTTTATTTATTTGAAAGGCAGAGCAAAAGAGAATGCACATACAAGAAAAAAACAGAGACGTGAGGGGGTAGTATTCTTCCACCTGTTGGCTTACTCCCCAATTGTCTACAACACCTGAGGCTGGGCCAGGCCAAAGCCAGCAACCTAAAAGTCAACCTCCTCTCCTGAGCAGGTGACAGGGACCCAGGGACTTGAGCCATCACCGGC